CCCAGCGTGTTGCGTGACATTTTCTCCACAGGATATCTCACTGTCTTCCTCTGCGCAGCATTTTTTCTTCACTGAGAGATACAGAGATGTGTAAATAGCTATCTGTTGCCCCACCGTTTCAGTTTCAGAATCACTTTTTGGGCACTTGATAAGCAGTTTGGTGTATTCACCCAAACACAGATCCCCCTGTAACACAGACCATTATGTGACAGAGTTTTACACTGTCTTGAAGTCCCTCTGTGCTATTGTACGATGCCAGATTGATTGTTTTCTCTTCGTCTTTTCGTAGATCACAGAAAATCAGGCAGACACTCTGGAGTACCAGGTGGCTGAGGCTCTCCAGGATCTCATCACCAAAAATGCCAAGACCAACGAAATCGAGGACGCCGAGGGCAACGATGAAGACACCGGGGTAGAGCAGGACACCCTGGGTTCAGACACGGTACGGCCCGTGATGTCACGTTGATGGAAACAGTCATTAAAAATACACGAGAATGGCGGCCATAAAGAAAAGCTCTCTCCCTTCCAGGACACGTGGGAGCCCCCGAGCCGGCGCTACAATGAGGAGGAGGAGGATGAGGAAGGTGACGATGAGGTAGAGGACGAGGTGGACCGCGATGCAGAGGAGGACGTGGACGCGGCCGACAAGACCTGGGACTCGGACACAGAGGGGGGCAACGAGGTGAGCCCTGAAGACGGGCTCCAGGACCTGCAGTACTTCCCAAACTTCTACCGGCTGCTCAAAAGCCTCGATTCAGGTAGGGAAAAAACCCATTTAGGGAACCGGGACATTTCAAAAGCAAACCCAGCCCAGTGCCTCCTAATACAGAAGCCGCTCAGACCGATAGCAGGGGCTCGAGATTGAGATTGTCGTTATGGAAATGTTGCTTTCAAGGATGAGTCAGTGCTTGTTATCGGTCTTTGTTTCCTTCACATCGGGGAGCGTGCAGATTAAAAAACCCTCGCTGACACACACAGACTCGAAACTAATTATTCATAATCCAGTCATCCTGATCTGCACTACAACACTATACGGCTACACCAGCATCATGGCAACCACTTCCCATAGTCAGGTATTGATCTTAACCCTGTAATGCCAAATGTATCATATTTGATACGTACGGTCTCTGAAGGGTTTAGCTTCTGACACCTTTTGTTTAATTCAATGGTAAAAACTTTGTTCAAAATCCTATCGTACACAATCAGATACAGCTGATAACAGGGGGCAGCATACTACACAAAAAAATATTTTGACTTATCACATAGTAATAAATTATTAATATTAAAAATGTATTTCTGTTTTTTCTTTTTTCATATTTAGTTAAAAGGCAAAATAAAGACTTCAAACCCAAAAAAAAAGTAATTTTCTGTTTTGTTTTATTCTTGGGTCAGGCTTTAAAGGTTTAAATGTGTCCCCTGCCTTTTTCTTGCAGATCAGGACACACAGGAGAGGGAGACGCTCATCACCATCATGAAGACGCTGATTGACTTTGTGAAGATGATGGTGAAGTACGGAACCATCACTCCAGAGGAGGGGGTGTCATATCTGGGTAAGTCGCGGCAGAATATCAGCACTGCCTGCTAACAGGGGAGCGATCCAATAATGGTTTATATCTTCGGCTTGGCAGGGCACAATTGCTCTTGGGAAATGTAGTTTCACGCAATATCTGTAACTCAAAGTTGATTTGTGATGTTTCCTGCCAAACTGGTTGCCGAGTAACTGGCTTCTTTCATGGAGCCAGACGACATATTTTATTGTATTTCATTACTTTTTCTTTTATTTCTTTGCAAAAGCCTCTGAAACACCCTTACATAAAGGATTTAGGGAAACTGTGGTGGAAGCTGATTTCTATAAAATCTAGACCTTCATCGTGTTAGAGTAGATGTCTGTAGAGTTTCTCTGTTTAGATGCTGGCTTTGTGGTTGTCTGCGTTGTGTTTGACATGGGATGTCTGTCAATCATCATCTGGAGTGACTGTAAAAATCAGTTTACTGCTGTGAAAGATGCTATTTTTATTTTGCCTTAACACAAAAAAACATGCGGCCATCTTTAGACTGTGGATTTCTGAAACCAACAGAACGAAGCACAAATAAACTGCATTAAGTGACCTCTTATGATAACAATTTTGAACCTTTTGTACAGGTTTGTGAACATATGGCTTAAATGTTCATATGGTGAACATTTAAGAATTTAAGCATCAATACATCCGTGGCTTTAACGACCATGTGTACACACGTTTTCTTATCTCGACCAGTTATACGTGTTTTTGGTGTGTTCATATGACGTTCTGCTCGGCTAATGGCTCCTCTCAGCCGAGTGTTCAGCCCCCACAAGTAGATAAGTATCAAGAGCCGGCAATCACATCAGCCGCCGCTGGAAAGGTCAGCCACCTGTAAAGGACAGCTGTCCTATCTCTCTGTGTTAGCCTCAAGAAATCCCGGAGCCATTGCGTCCTCTATGGATGATAAAATCTTTTCTCTCTGTTTAAATGGCAGCAAGTCCCAGACCAAACATGAGGCCAGGCTGTACTTTAAAGTCCGATCAACAGCTTTGGTCTATCTGTTTCCTATACATAAATATATATACAGTATATATATATATATATATATATTTTTTTTATTTTTTTTATTTTATTTTTTTACAGTATGTTCACTATTTATTTGATTTGGTGCATCGAGACCAAGAGTATATTGGTCCTAAATGAGTCAGTAAATTCTCAGATATTCTATCCGTCCATTTCCCAAACCGTTTATTCCCAATGGGGTCAGGGGGGGAGTGGTCACCAGGCAGGTCCCTGGTCACCAGTCAATGCCCAGATAATGGGAACTGGATATTTTTGTCACTCAAAGCGGCAGTTGCACACCAGCTGTAGACAGACACATCTCATTAAATTACATTTAAGTTTCCATGACAACGACTCCGGCGTCATGTTGAGCACGTTCTGAGGAAATAATCTAGTGGAATTCCTCCATCGCCTAGCAACATGTTACAGCCCTTTACCCCAAACCTTCCCCCATACTGAACACAAAGAGCTGTCAATAAAGTCTAATCTGTCAGTGGGTGATGCCGAGCTCAGAACCAGAGATACAGAGAAAAGGGAGCGGGGGAGGAAGGGATATGATGTTTGTGTGGGTAGGCAGAGAACAATAATGGACTTCCACTGTGCTGCCACAGGTGTGAGTAGGTGGACTTCACGGAAAGTACAAGGGCGGGCAGGGTTTTGTTAGATAATAGGAAATGAGGGGTTGGAGTGGGCTCACGCGGCAGAGAAAATCTAATGATGCTTAATCCGAGCGAAGAAGTCCCGATTTCCTGTTAGTCTCATTTCTTTGTTGTCCCATTTAAATATGCGCAACTGCATGCAAAGCTGGATTAACAACTGGATCCGATTTTGTAAAACAAAATCAGGCACACCACTTTTATCTAAAGACACATTTGACCCTCACAAACCAATCTGTGACAAACAATATGTTAGAACGTCCGACTGTCTTACAGATTAGCTAATTAAAAATCACTACAGAGGGGCTTAAATTAAGAAACATTCAAAAAGTAAATCTGCCTTACAGTAGACCTCGTAAAGTGCTTGAAGATAGTGTGTAGTGGATGGTTGGACTTGATGTTTTTGATGTGCCGGTCCCCAAAAAATCAGCATCCTTTGCATTAAACATAATGTTTACTTCCTTTAATAATCCAGAGAGGACTTGTCGTTTCATTGAGCCATGTGATCTGTTTAGTTCTCCAACTTAATCCCCCCTCTGAAAACACAATAATAACCTCTTTAATCATCAGCGCATGTTCTGAGGATTACTCGCCAAAATCACAAATATGTATAGATATTAAGAAAGAAAGCCTTATGTTAAAGGGCAATAACATTTTAGAGTAGTGGATACGGGAAATGACTGTGGAAAAACACAAGGTTATGTTTCTCCCTGATGATGTAGTCCTGAGCCTTGTTTTCATTCATTAGATGGAAATTCTCTTTTTCATGGTAATAACCCTCTGAATCACACAGGAACAGCGTGGGACTTCCAAATGGTCAAGAGGCTTTCATTCATGCTATGCAGAATAAACTGACTACACAATATGAATTTAATCTAAAGTAAATGTTTTCCCTTTTTTTTTCCACCCGCAGAGAACCTCGATGCGATGATAGCCATGCAGACCAAGAACAAGCTGGGCAAGTCCCTCGGGACCCCTGACCTTATCGGACCCATGGGTAAACAGCGACCTAAGTTTTCCTTTGAACATGTCAATCATCAAAAAAATCCTGTTTTATTCATAAATAGAAGATACAATTAATATCATGAGAAGATGATCTTAACAGGACATGATGAATTATGGTTTGATCGCCTTTTTAATGTATTAGTGTATTTATGGGAATATAATAATCAAAGATAAAACTAAAAGCGAATATTAAGGTGTTCTTGTGTGCTATTGCTGTTCTCGCTTTTCCTCGGAAATAAAAAATCTGAACAGGGAATGGGTTCATCACGGCCACATTGGCCAGGTAAAAGTATTTTCTGAATAGAAACATGCAGGGGCACAAACAATGAACATTACAGTGGCAGTAATAAAACTCTTGTGACAGAAACTATCAGCTCTATCAATGGTGAGCTCTGCACATGGTATGGTTTATTTTAGGTGTGTGATTTGTAAATTTGTATCCAAAAAGGTTTTTCCAAGTTCAAAATGTACTTAATAGAAAAGCCCAATAGATAATCTTGACCAGGGGCCTCTGCATAAAAGTAATTTGCTTCCTTTAAACACATATGTACACATTATTAGAACTTCATGTGTGTAGTTTGTTTAATCTGAACGCAATATTATAATAAAACGTACATTTAAAACTAATAATGCCAGCCTCCACAAAAGCCTTTATCATACTCTATTGAGGAAAACTATTTGCTTGTTTGTTGTAGGAAAAAACTTCGATGAGGACGACAACACCAAAGCTGAAGCTGCTAAGATGCAGAGGGACTATGAGAACCTGAAAGACTCCACCAAGGAGGAGCAGCCCCCAACTGAGAGCAGTCAGTCCTCAGCCCAATCCTCCTGACATGGGGAACACCACATTTTGTTTGCGATTTGATTACCACCTGAATTGATTTGATATAATTTACCACAAATTGTGCCCTTCTAATTGCATGACTCATTTTAATTTATTCATTTCATTTTGGTTTTGTGTTGTGCCAAATGTCCAAAATAAACACATTCTTCACAAACACAGCAAATTCTCACCGCATCACTTAAATGGAGCGACTATATTTTTGAGTGAAAACGAGGAAATGTATAGTAGCATGGCTAGTAGCATATTTTGCTTCTGCTCAGTGTTGTCAGTAGGAAATAAACAACATCCTGTTGTCCATAGCGATCATTAAGCCCCTGCTTGTCTCTGAATTAGGCCAGTCCAATAACACTCACCGGAAAGCTTCTCACAGCTTCTTTTATTCCGTGTCCCTGCCCACTGAACTGAATGTACTTACCAATATAATCCATGTACACACACACAAAGAGATACATTAAAAAGGAAAAATAAACATATAGCAGGATTGCCACAATTTACCCCGACAATAAATGAAGAGAGCAGTGACTAAATCTAAATCTAAACTAAACTCTCGCCTTTGTATTAGTTGAAAGGCAGCACTTATTTGTGCTGAAACATCAGGATATTTTTCAAAATCTAAATTTAATCTATGATCAAATGACAGTCCCAAACCTAATTCTAGGGGAGCAGATTTCAGGAATGTGTTGTGTGTCTAATCGTGCCAGTGAAAGCCTGGTTCTGTTTGTGTGTTTTCACTGCTACTGCAAGGGAAAAAATGTAACATCGAGTCTTGCTTCAGGAATTTTTTATGGTGTAAATAATTGATCAATCCAAGACTGCTCTCTCACTAGTTGTGAAATGACAGGCTCATACGGGTGTCAAATTCAATTATCTAATGAGAATAATTCTCGTGTTTTCTCCCGTTTTGTCTTTCCCTTAACTTCAGATCAGCCTGGAAAGTCGGAGACATATCTGGAGGCCATCAGGAAGAATATTGAGTGGCTGAAGAAACACAACAAAGAAGAAGGCAAAGATGGTGAGACATGTTGACTTATTTAAAAAAGAGATGAGAGAAAGAAGATGCGGGCCTGAATGTGAACACATAGCCTCCGCATTCTTAACTGCTCCTCGTTCTCAGATCTCTGCTGGGTTGTTAGATCTAGGGAGCATCCTCATTTGTAAACTCTCCATCCATCTTCCATCCTTCTTCCATCCATCCGGGGGGGTGGGGGTGGAGCCCACTCACTCCTGTGGTAAAAAAAGACTCCAAAAAATAACCTAATATGCGTGTTTTTGGGCTGTGGGAGGGCCATGTAATAGTCTGAGGTTGCACGCCACAAAGCAGAAAATATGAAAATTGTTCATTTGGCCCCAACTGGAATTTAAAAGAAGAATGGGGGGAGCCGGGATGAACGCTTTACAACGGATCTCATGAATATGGATCATTCTCAATTAGCCTGTTTGTGAAACAGCCGCCTTGTTCCTTAACAAGCTCGCTCCTACCCGGTTCCCATCGCTGTCTCGGGCTGCTCTGTGAAGAAAAAGAAGCAATCACTGACGTAGCACAGAGAGCCAACGTGGAGCTCTTTGCCTGTTTGTGCAACTTTACATTTCCCTGCATTTTAAAGTTCTACTTTATTGCAACAAAGAAGCTTGTGACCCACAAAAAAACTGCACCAGACTGCAGAGCTGTGAAAAGTGTAGCTGAGCACACAGCAGCACGCTGGTCTATAACCGGGAGGCCTACAGTCAGGCTCTCCACACTGTAAAATCAATGCCCAGTGGTGCTCAATTAAACTGAAGAGAATGACATACTAATGAGTTCTCACCATCCGGGCCATTCAGCTTTTGGAGATGATCTCAGTAGGACGACTCCAACAAGAAAACAAAGCTTGCTGTTTTCTTGCTCGGCGGAATGTATGCTTTTAATGTTAGCGGCTCGGGCCTAATCCTAGCCCAACAATAGGATAAGAAGTTATAGACAGATGGATTACAGACAGAAACAAAGTCTGACCCAGATTCTTGCTTCTATCTTAAACGCAGACGAGAGAAGAAAAACAACAACAAAAGCAGGTCTGACACGGAGGATATAGCGCCGGAGTAGAGGGGAGTGCAGGGACACCCCAGTAGGGAGGCTTTGTTTGGAGCTCATCTTTAACCTTGCCCTATAAAGGACACCTTATTAGCATTCAAGTGCGTGGAGCCGTTGTCAGGGACGACTGCGGACCGCCCGCCTGCCTATCAGGGTAAAATGAGACAGACAGATAATGGTCCGAGAACAGACACACAGTCAGAATCGTCCACTTTTCCCATAATCCGGCTCCGTGCGACAGAAAAAAATAACACGGCGTCGCCTCGTAGTACATTAAACACCTCGAAAAAGTCCTCGCCTCGTTTTGGAGAGAAAGTACAGCAGGGGGGGGGAAACAAAAGCCTTTTCAACTGAAAAACGGCGTCATAGAAACAGAGCGGGACACGGGCCATTTATTGTGTTTACTCTACCAGAAGAGCCCATTAGGACGATCTCAGCAGGTCGTGCGCGTTCGCGTGTGCTGATGAGTTTGTGTGAGTGTGTCTACGTGTGTGTGTGTGTGTAAGTACGCCCACGCAGCGCTAAAGATTAGCCGGAGGAGCAGATGGACGCAGAGGCGACATCCTGGTTTTTGGATCTTGGCCTTGCGCAGCCGAGACTTCAAGAAGCGGGTGTTGCTTGTAATCAGGTTGGGTTAATCCCTCACACATCATGACTGTCTCAACCACAGTCCCCCAGCTATGAAACGAGCTGCGAGAAGTTAAAATGTGGGGAAATCTCTGGGTGATCTTTTGGCTGTCTTCTGTCCTTCTGTTGCTGCTTCATTCACAGTCCGTTTGAGCATTTTTGCCCATTCCGACACTCATATTTTACAAGGATATGGGGGAAATAAGTATTTGACCCCTTGCTGATTTTACAGGTTTACCCACTTACAAAGAATGCAACGATCTATTAACTTTAATCATGTGTACATTCTAACAGTGAAAGACAGAATCCCAAAGAAAATTCCAGAAAATCACATCATTGATAACCATCTGATGAAGAAAAATAAGCATCTTTATAAGTGGGCAAACCTGCAAAATCAGCAAGGGGTCAAATACTTAGTTCCCCCACTGTAGATTATATAGAGTTCAAATCCTGCTGGTGTCAAATGAAACCAATTTGTCGAAGTGAACACAACAGAGTATTCCCTGAACAGTCTTTTTGGGGACTGTTTGGATGTTTCCCCGTGTGTGTATGTGTGTGTATGTTCTATGAATCGGAAAAACATGCCCTGACCCTAATCCTTGTTTGGGTGCGCCATCTTAACAGGACAGGGTACCACGAGTTCATCGTCTGCTTTTGTCCTAAACCACGACACCCTCTCTGAACTTCAGAATGTAAAACCCCACGTTTCCCTGTGCCTGTGCCTCCAGATTACGACCTGTCCAAGCTGAAGGATTTCATGGACCAGCAGGTGGACTCGTATATCGAGAAGGGCATCATCGCCAGAGATGAGGGCGACACCATCAAGAGGATCTACAGCAGCCTGTAAAGTGACCCGCCCCCCCCTCCTCTGGCCCGAATCACAGGACCGAATCTGACACTAGGGGTCTCCCGAAAAACCATAACTACTCACAACTCTTTCCCATAGAGCGGTAAAGGATATACTGTATTCAAAACTGAATAGTGTCTCCTGACCCAACTGATCAGAGTAATAACTGAAGTATTATCATGAAGTATCAGAGTACTTTATGTAACATTGCCATACACTCCAGAGGGAAATGAATGTTAAGGGACTTTGATGCTAGTGCTTTGTTATAATCATACTCTCCCAAAAAATACTCAAATCATACTCATTATATGTGACCTGTCTTAGCTTATGATATGTTTTTCCCGAGTGTTTATGTGAGATCTTAATATATATTCTTCTTTTTACTTAAACATCAGTATATATTTGTGGTGTATCACGTCTGTACCCCGCCCCCCCCTCCCCCTTCTGTTCTGCTGTAGCCCACTAGGGGGCGATGTCTGAACCATCAACACTGCATGTCTCTACCGTGCGAGTTACACGTTTCCATCTCTGTAGAGGCAAAAGAAGAAGTATTTTTAATTGTAAATATTTGTGATTTTTTCCTAAAGTTGTGAGAGCAATTAAAGCATTGCCTTTTCTTTACCTTTGGTCTTAACTGTGACAACAAAACACTGCTTAAAAAACTTTCATTACAGATATCCATTGTACTATGAAAAAAAAACTCATTATTATTTATTTGGAATCTCTTTCCGAAAAGTCAGATTTTGTTGCCCTTTTTTGAAAAGTCGTCATAGCCAACAGCTCCTGGTTTTTCCAAAGTTTTGTCTAGACACCGCCTGCTCTTTCCCTCATTTTCATTTCTGTTTTGGTACCAGAAGGTTTTCAAAGGAAGTTTGTGGGTTATTTTGTTCGTTTGTTAAGTTGCTCACCGCTGCCCTGTGAATTCTGCTCATACCAAAAGCTTTTACAAGGCAAATTAGATGTGTTTATATCATTCCAGCAGTTTTATCCACAAAAGAAGGATTCTGATAAGACAATCTGCACCACTGAGATGATTCCTGAAGAGCCATTAGCTGTAAAGTTGGCATATCTCAGCATGATGTGTCCTTAAAAGAGTTCAGGAATAGTCAAAAGAAGTCCCAGGTTTTTTTTTTTTATCAACAGTTTCTGAAAAAACATTTCTGACATGGGGGCTATAAGGGACCTGAGAGAAGCATCATCAGGTGATGCATATACTCTTGGTCCAAACCTCCCCAGGAATGCTCTTCAGGGAAACGAGAAAAGGCTGAATCAGCAGGTCTGATGGAGGGATGAGGCCTCCCCAGAGTTCAGACCTCAGCATTACTGAATCAGAGGGAATCAGATTGGTATCATTGACAGGAAACAGAGCAAAAGCCAGACTGTATCCAAAAAAGAACTCTGTGAGCCGGGAGAACTAGTCCCGCCAACATCTTAAAGAAATACCAAAGTCTCCAGATGTGTTGAAGAATAACAGCGGTCAAACCAAATACTGACTTTCAAGCTCGTTAAAATTTTGTTTCTGTCTTATTCTTATGTACTGGGCTTTTACTCGTGTTTGAATAAATCCCTTTACCTAGATCTGCATTGTAGTAAAAACACTTGGAATCTCCATGTCTGGATTAAATACATGTTTATTTGTTCCCAAATAAAAGCAACATAATTTGAAAGCACAATAAAACAGCAGTTACAGTTCTCCGCACTCATAAATAAAACATTCACACTTCAAAAATAGAGCTCTGTGCCCACCGCTTCTGAAGACTAAAACTTCTACGAGGCAAATGAGACGTGTTCAAAGGCTGGTTTCCACCCCCCCGCCCCCCCCCTGCCCCCCCGCCTCCGTTTGGGCTTTCGCTCAAACGGCGAGGAGATGAAGGCCTGAATAGACTTTCCCGTGATTCTATCCTAGGAGGAGATTTAGAGCATCACCAGCGGTTAGCCACCGGCTAATCCTCCTGGAAACGCTTAGCTGGGTGTGTGTTAGAGGAAGCGACTATGTGTGTGAGTTAACATGAGCAGCAGGTGTGTTCTGTAAGCGCATGCTGTGCGCGGACGCCCGGTAAAACTGTACAAAACCAAAACATTCAAATACATCCTCATAGTTACAGTTCAATAAATAAGAAGGCAAACATGACACTTGTTCAACGTGGTAAACATGAGAAAGAGAAAACTAAACCGGAGGGAAAAAAGCATTGGGGTTGAGGTGGTGTATGTGTGTGTGTGTGTGTGTGTGTGTGTGTGTATGTGTGTGTGTGTCTGAGTCGGGCTTCGGGTAAGCGGACTGCGTCTTCAGATCTCCTGGTATGAAGTCTCGGGTGGCGTGTAGTTCTCCTCATTGGTCCTGAAAAAAAAAGGACCAAACAAAAACCGTTAGTGGAAAATTCATCACAGCAGCAACACTTCCATTAAACCAGAAAAAAACATTTCTGATGTGCCTATCTAAGAAAAGTCATTGGTGCCGCAGCAGTTTAAGCAAAACTAAGCCAAGTTCAATTTAAAGAAAACAAATCAAGGTCTCAACCTTGTAACTTTAAAAACAACAAACCCCAAAAAAACCCACTTTAGAAGTGAACACCCTTCAATTTACTCTTTAAAATGAATTTAACTGAAAAGAAAGAAATTAACAAAGAATCCTGACAGTATGAAATATTTAAAAACAAAAACACAACAGACCTCCAAGAAATGTTGCCTTTTTTTAACCCCTCTTTAACCAACACAACCCTGGGTTTAAAACATATCCATTCATTCCAGTGGTGCAGTGAGAGGAAAGCGTGTTTAATCCCACACGTGTCCGGTTACAGCATGCAACAATCATTCATTAAAAACTATTTTACCTCTCTATCTCATAGCTTTACCAGCTCTGACTGGCCGTGTTGGAGGCACAAACACCACAGAAGAAGATTGTCCAACACATGACAACTGAGACGAAAGTGGAGAGATGAAGTCTTAATAAAAACTACATTTTCTAAAAGTGTATCTACATGTTTCCCTTTTCCAAATCAACACTCATCTAGCACCCATGGATACTTGAACACTGATCTTTTCTGTGTCCACAGTGAAGCTTGAAAAAAAGGTAAAAACCTGGAAATGTTGACACTTCCCTATAAAGGTGCTATAAATGTAATTGGATTTCCATTAAGAGCACCAGGAAATGCGTCAGCCAGTCTTTGATTCAAACGCAGAGGCTGGGCCGTTAGGACTTGATGGATGTTTTCGGGGAAAGCGGCTCAGCTCAGCTCCGTGTGGCTTGAGGCTGACAGGGAGGTGAGACACGTGGAAGCCCCCTGACTGGGGAATGGGAACATTTCTGGAGAGTTCCCGACTGCCTGCGAATGGAGGGCGTCGCCTGAAACCTGACCGACGGATGACTCCCAAAGCGAACTGCGTCGTGGTCACTAAAGGTTCCAGGTCAATGTTTGCACAGCCGGGCACTCCAAATAGAAAAGCAGCCCCTCTGTTGTTTGCTAAAGACGAGGACACGACAGGTGGCTGCCGGGGACACCAGGATAAAAATAAAACTGGACAGTGGCTCGTCTTTTTGTTCTAACGGAGCGACTGTTTTCAGCAACGGGAAACTTCTCCCATCTGGTAACCGTGGCGATAGTCTTATCACGGTTTTGCCGCATTTGGGTTTCAGCATCAGACCGGCAGATCTTAAAGGACAAGGTCGGGATATCTGAACCCCCACAGAAGTCATTTCATGTAGCAGGACAAAGGCCCAGAGAACCACTGCCTTTAAAAGAAAGGCTAAAAGGGAAATGCTCATGTTTGGAAAAGGCAAAACAAAGCAAACATTTAGTCAGATGCACTGCAGAAGAGCCTGAAGTCAGTAAATCTTGTTACAAAACTCCCCAAAATCCCATGATTGTATCTTTTTCTTTACGTCACAATGAGCTAGAATCCTTTGAGACTGTTTCAACATAATTTTGGGAAGCTTTGACTTATGGAGGTCACACTTGTCTCTTTAAACTTTAAACAAGACATTTAATTGGTTTGTCTAGGGACGCTTCTTTTTTATCTACTTTCTGCATTTATTCAAAGTTGCTAAACCCCCTCTATAAAACTGTCTGCCTCCCTTGTTGCCGTGGCCCACCGTCGTCGTTAGGCTTAACTTGAAGGCCGGTTTGTGAAATGAGGCGGTGCTGCTATCATTTTCCCTTCCGTACAGCTTCAGGTTGGTTGTTTTTTCTACCATAAACAGGCAGTAGGACGGGCGTGCGGTCTGTGTTTACCCGGGGAGCGAGTGGAAACCTCAGAGTGAGGCTCTGTTTGTCCGACCACAGCCGCTTTGTTTAAGGAGTCGGGATTGTAAGCGTGGCACTCCGACAACACGTCAGAGTAGGGGGAGTTTGAGCATGTTTGCCTGAATATTTTCACCAAAACAAGGACTCTGAGGGTGTTCTGCAGCTGGCCGGCGCCAGAACCTGATCCTGGTTTATCTGCTCACAGATCAGAGTGGCGTGTTGTCCTGGTTTCCCACAGCTCCGGCTCACACAGAAACAGGTTCAACAGCCAGAGACCTGGGTTATTTTCACAGTGAAGCCAAAAGAGGAAGCGCAATCATATCCCAGCTGCCACAGAGAGAGCCGTTTCCATTCTGAAAATAACGGGATGAGCAAAAACAGAGTGACCCTGAAGTGGGAAAAAAACATTAAAAAAACTACGTGTGTGTCTGATGAGCTGCAGAGTGACTCAGTCCTCTCTAAACTGATAGCAGCACTTCGGCATTTTTCTGAATGAATGAAATCAAGCCAGCCGTCCACCTCTACGGCATTACTGGGCGGTCATGAGAGCCGTCTCTGTTTCGACACGCTGCG